TTAAATAAAAGGGCAGAGTTAACGTCAATGGATTTTACTATATAGTTTGGTAACAGTACGTGAATGATATTTACAAATAAATTTGGGGGACTGTACAGTCAAAAGAGCTTGGGGGGGCCAGCAGGTGGCATGGTGGTTACGTCACTAGACTCCCACATGGCCGACCATGGACCTGGTGCCTTGAAACTCGTGCTGGGCGCGTGTGCGTGTGTGTCCAAGATACTGGGAGGAGAGTGGAGGAGAAGGGATTGCGGCGTGGCCATCCCCCCAGGGGGTGACTTCTCACTTTCTGTCTCTCTCCATCTTTCTCTGTCTCTCCCATGAGCACACATACCCTACAGCAAAGATCTCGGAGAAAAAAATCAAAGCTTGGCAACTAACGCCAACTCACCCCGGCAACGCTCCCACAGGCCTCTGCACCCGCCGCTCTCTCGACCGGAGCAGGGTGAAGCCGGCTATGAGTAACGGCATGTCCAAACGTGTGGCTTAAAGAAGCTGCAGGTAAACTGAGACTGGAGGTCGCGGCCCAGGGGTGTCGTCACAGCTCTGAAATCGTCTGAGATGTGGACTCTTGTGCACTCTTCAGAGAGAGACAGAGAGATAAGAGGAAAGTGAGAAAGCACCTCCCCGAGGGATGGCCATGCCACAGTCCCTTCTCCATTCTCTTCCAGGGATTGGGGGCCTGCATGCACGTGTACCCAATATGTTTTTCAAGCCATGGGGTCCAGCACTCACACCGCACAGTTAACCATGTGGGATGCAGCCACCTGAACCCCCGCACCATGGGCTGCCCAGTCCAGACCCTCTGAGCATATTGTTCTGCACTTTTCTTTTCTTTAGAGAGAATTTTGCTATAGGGTACATACACTGGAGAGACAGAGACAGAAAGTGAGAAATCCTCCCCCGCCAGGGGCATGGCCGTACAATCCCTTCTCCATTCTCCTCTCAGGATCTTGGGCATGCACTTACACGCTCCAAGCGTGAGTTTAAGCCAGTGGGTCCAGGACTCTAATCACAGTCGACTACATGGGAGTCCAGCGACATAGCCATTACACCAATTGCTGGTCCCCAGTGTTCATTTTAAACTGCTCGGTCGGGGACTCGAACCGTGTTCCACTACATAGGAGTCCAGCGATGTAACCATTATGCCACCAGCTGGTCCCTGCTCTTTTCAACCCATGGTTTCCAGCTCATGGCTCACAATGGCTGCTTGAGCTCCAAACATAACATCATCATTCCAACCAATAGGAAGAAAGAAAGGGTGAAGAGAGACATGCCCCTTCACACTTTCAGAGTACTTCTGATTATTGGAGATTTTAAAATGACAGTTATTGAACCAGCCCGTGGCATGGTGGTTAAGGTGGTGAACTCCCACATAGCTGGCCACGGTTCAAGTCCCAGACCCAGCAACTTGAAAATCATGCTGGGCATATGTGCACGTGTGCCCAAATCCCAAGCAGAGAATGGAGGAGCAGGGATTGGAATGTGCTCATCCCCCTGGAGGGGTAATTTCTCACTTTCCCTCTCTCTGTCTCTCTCTAGTGAGCATTCGCCCTGATGGCAAAAACTCAGGGAGAAAAATGGTCATTATTAATGATAAGAGTTTCCACTAGAACAATATCACAACCTGGAATCTGTGGGTACCCCATAAAATAGTTCCAAAGTACATGAAGCAAACATTGAGAATTACAGGTGGGCTGGCACAGAGTCCACACCCTCCAAGGACAGGAGTCACGTCCTTTTCAAATGCACCCAAAACACCCACCAAAAACATTGGTTCCAAGAAGTTGCCACACTTACTGCCTGCCAACAGGTACCCCCGGCTACGCCTAGCACAGGGGCAGGCTGGGAAATGCCAGGCGGCCAAGTCCCCAGTTGCTATGGAGGGACAGGGCAAACAGTTCCTGGGAAGCCGACAGCCTCTGACCTCCCTCTGGCCTTGCCAGGGTGGCACTGGTCCTGAGAGGACCATGCAGCCGGAAATAGGAGACTCCGCCTTCCAGGTGCCCATGGGACTTGGGGGAAGGCATTTAAGATATAAGATTTTCATGTCTTGCTTTTTCTTTTTAGATTTGCTATAGGGTGTGTGCACTCACCGATGGGAGAGACAGAGGGAAAGTGAGAAATCACCCCCCAGGAGGATGGCCACACCACAGGCCCTTCTCCATTCTCCTCTCAGGATTTTTGGCATGCACACACACACACCTGGCATGTTTCTCCAGCCAAGTCCCAGGTCTGGGACTCGAACCACACAGTCAGTCACATGGGTCCAGCACCTTAGCCTGCACACTGCCTGCTGGCCCCATGATGTAAGTTTTCACGCAGACATGTGTGAACTGGCTCGTTTCTTCAGAAAAACATTGCATTAAGTGAGCCCCTAAGTTCCCCCCCAACCCTGATGTTGGGTGGCTCCAGTTTCTCCACCCACAGGCAGAGGCCCCTCCTCCAATTCGGGCTTGGCCGTTTTCTTCCCATGTAGCTCTAGGCAGGTGGTTTGACCTCAGTTTTCTTATGAAATGTGAACAAATCTACTTCATGGGGGTATTGGGAAGACAGACCCAAAATGCATGCCGAGTGCTCGGTGTGGGGCCTGCATGGTGCGTGTTCAATAAACGTTAGCACAGAGAGGCGAGGCAGCTTGCCCAAGGCTGGCTCTCAGTGCCAGGCACGGGGCTGTGAGCTACAACGGGCATTGCTTTGGGGTTCCTGCCACCCCCAACCCATGGCCCCGTACATTCAAGGGGTGTTGGGGGGAAGAAGCACCGAACAGTGGAGAATAGTAAACAAAGAGTTTAACTGAGAGAGTTAGAGAAGGATTTTTCCTTCCTTTTTTTAAATTTGTTTAGATTTTTGCCATAGGGCATGTGCGCTTGCTGGAGAAAAAGACAGAGGGGGAAAGTAAGAAATCACCCCCCAGGGGGATGGCCACGCCACAGCCCCTTCTCCTCCACACTCTTTTCAGGACTTGGGGCACCCAGCACACACCTGGCATGTCTTTCAGGCCTCCTAGTCTGGAACTCGAACTGCAGAGGTGGCCACCTGGGACCCAGTGCCTCAGCCTCCACTCCACCCGCTGGCCCTAAAGGAGTATAAAGTGTGTCCTAACTCAGACGCGTGTTAGCTGCCTGTTTCTTCTGCAAAAGCTTGAATGAAGGGAACCCAAACATCCCCTGACCCTGACGCTCGGTCTATCTTCTGACATTTTAATGGCTGGAATTGTACCGATAGAAATGTATTTCTGCAGGTTAAGTCTACCTGAGCCCTTTCCTGAAAGCCATGTCAGAGGGTCCTGAGCCTGGTCTGCATGAGTTCTTCAGGCCCTCTGCAGTGGGCCTGGCTGGGAGGGAGGGGCCTGCAGAGGGGGAGATGGCCGATGGGAGGGGTCAGGCCCCAGCCCCAGTTTCCCAGGAGCTGCCCAGGCCGAGGCCCAGGACCCTGACGCCAGCCCGTTGCCAGGTCAAGGCAGAATGCTGCGGATCGGCCAGTCCCCGTCACCTGGCCAGGCCCCACCACGGAGTCTGCGGATTTCCGAGTCCTTCACATCCCTCCCCCTACCCGGCCTCTCAAACAAAGCCAGGGAAAAATGGATTTTGTCTTTTTTTAACCAAGGACTCAAAGTCTTAAATTACCTTCCTAAAGGTCTGCAAATAGAAAGCCCCAAAACGACAGCCACCTTTTCTCGCC